TTCGAGGATCGAGCCTAAGAGCTTGATCAGGCGAGGTTAGGGATCGAGCCTGAGAGCTCGATCACGCGTAGTCGAGGATCGAGCCTGAGAGCTCGATCATGCGTAGTCGGGGGTCGAGCCTGAGAGCTCGATCACGCAACAGGGTCGTGTATGGGCCTCGATCCATGACCCTCGATCTGCGGGCCTCGGTCTGTGAAGCACGTGTATGATCCTCGATCTGTGAGGCTTGATGTGTAAGGTTCGAGTGGTTCGACGTATCATGGTCTGAGTACGGTTATATTCCCTATCACTTTCCAAACCAACTAAATAAAAATTAGGAAACTAAATAAATAGGATATGCTAAATAAATAAAAATAAGAAATTGAATAAAAAGATAACGATACGGTCTCGCAGTGACGGATCTAGGAATTTTATCGGGGGGGGGGGGGNATTAATAATAACAAGAAAAAAAATAAGTTGAAAATAAATAAATCAGTACAAGCTAGTATCGATTAAATAAATATAAAAAAATATATCCGAGTATTACAAAAATAACTTACGATAACATTGAGAGGTCACAACATTTCTCTTCTATTTTTCATGTTTTGAAGTTGTTGCATGATCATAACCTCATTGCTAACATTCCAAAATATATCTTTCTCGATGTATGTCACTAAACAATAATCATCAAAAACTCATAGCCTATTCGGTTACGTAGTGTACTTTTGATGATTTTTATTGTCGAAAAATCTCTTCTACTGTAGCAGTGACAACCGATAAAATCAACAACAACTTAATCAACAAGCAAACTAATGAAAAAACATCATGTTTTCTTCTAAACACCATCTTTTGAGCAAGATCTCCCATATTGGTTACATTCGAGAAGTTTTCATCTAAGTGCATATTAAAAATGAAATTCTCGAATCGGTTTTTTTATCGGTTTCTCAAATAGTTTTTTTGGGCATATGTTCCAGCTTTCATCCGATTTTACCTAGTTTTTATTTTTTTTATTTTTTTATATTATTACAAATTTACTAAAATACCCCATATTATTTTGAAAATTTCAGGGGGGTCCAGTGCCCCCTTAGCTAGGCTACAGCTCCGTCCCTGCGGTCTCGTTTCTCCAAAAAGGCCAGTGCGATCTCTTCGCCATCAATCACCCAGGATATGTAAAAACTCAAAGCATATCAATAATTGACAGATCTAAGTGAGGCCAGGAAATATTTCAGACAGAATTGACAGATCTAAGTGAAGCCAGGAAATATTTCAGACAGCATAAACTATAACTGGCGAAATACTTACCATCCCCTCTATGGTTATATATTGGTATTATAGCTAGTTGGTACCTATATACACGCATTGTACTGATTTGAGAAAAGGTACAGTAATTGAAAAGGTGAGATAAAGCTAAAGAAATAATACTATATCACTACAGATGTATTAGCAGATATTTGATAATTCTTGATATATTCAACACGTCTCATCCGCACTATATCCTTTCATGTTACAGATAGCATCAGCTTAGTATAGCAAGAAAATGCAAATAAGTTACTAGTAAGAAATATGCTGAGAGGGTATGCCTTCAGACTTCAGCAGCTCCCTTTATGGCCATAGTCGCATAACAAGAAGCCCGAGAATAAAGTTGAATTTGAGAGCCTTCCCTGTCTATGGCCGTCCAAAGATTCATTAATTAGTTCTGAGTGAGATTTTGAATTTACATTAAAATAATATTTAAAATAAATAATTAAAGTTGATTTAATGTAAAAGTACGACAGATATGAAGTATTGATTAGTTAAAATTATGTGAGTGAATAAATAGTAAATTAAAGTTGATCTAATGCGTAAGAATGATTGATTGATATTATTAAATTATATTTATAATAGTAAATATAATGAAGTTAATTAAAGTTGAATTTGTAAGAATGATTAATTAATTTATTTAATTATATTAATAATATTAAAGATATTAATGTTAAATTAAAATTTAATTAAATTTTGAATATGTATCGTGCTTATTTATAAACAAACACACCTAATGCACGACAAAAAGCCAAAAATTAAGTTAGCAAGTGAGCTGTAAAATACTGTCGCACACCATATTTGGGCCAGCCTAAGCCTAGCGTATGCTTGCAATTGAAAAATAATAATATTTATTAAACATAGTAAACAGTAAGTGAAATATCAATGCACCCATTTTTCTTTCTTTCTTTCTTTCTTTCTTTTCTTTTTTTTTTTNGAAAAAATAGCTGTCATGAGTTGTTATACATAACTTGAACCAACACGAGGAAAAAGTTGGTGCAACAAATTCGATTCCTAGAGGTTTGGTTTGGGACCAGAAACAATTAATTTCCCTCTCAGTCTCCACAATGCAACTTTATACACTGAAACTTTTGGGATTGTGACATATAGGCCCGTTTACTTACGATAGAATGGTAACGTCCTTAACTAACCTTATTTATGTTTACTAACACAGATCGAGATTGATAAAACATATTTTAGTTGTAATGCAATAAAATCTTTAGAATTTAGGAAATAAGCTAGTTTAAGTAGTACATTCATATGACCGATCTATGTATTTGTTTGAGATTAAGTGACATTCAAAGACTTTTTTAGATTTGAAATTTTTTAAGATTTTGATATTTTGGAGGAATAATGTGAAATCTTAAAAGTCTGGATGCGGGATTTGGAGTGGGATTTCGTATATGTTTTTTTCTTTAAAAATCCCAACAAATCTTAAAAAGTCTTAACAAATCATAGTTTTAAATAAGTTAAATTAAATACCTCATGATTTTGCAAGATTTTTTAAAATTCCAAATGAATACCTCAAGATCTTCTAAAAATATCGAGAAGCCTAAATTAAAGGCACCTGATTTCTGAAGTTTTAAAAAATCTTTATAAATGTTTAGAAATCCCAATTGAATAGGTTGTGTTATTTCCATTACTACTTGACTATCAATTGTTGCTAATGAATCGAATTCAATAACCATTATGAATTGCATGTTCAATTCTATTAATAAACATACAAAACTTTATCTAGGTGATTAATAATTTTTTTTTTTTTTTAAAAAAACTCTATAATCAATCATAGAAATAAAATAGAGCGAAATCATAGGGATCTAACTTTCCCAAACTAAAATTATGACTATACATAATAAATATACAAGAAGGAGAAGACTACAGTTCCATCACGGGATGATTCCGTGAGAGTTTTTAACCATGGATTATTTATAATAACTAACATACATGTACATGTAAAGACTAATAACCAAAAAATTTCAATCGGATAGTCGAAATTCTCTCTTCTCCGTAAAAGCCCTAACCCCCAAAATCTGCCTTTCCCTCGCCGTCTAGCTTCCGTTGCCTTCCGCAGCAAGGCTCGGCGAGCGCTCGGTGGTGACGCTACTGGGCCACGCGCCGCTTGGAGGGGATCTTCTTCGCCGGAGAGATGGTTGCGTCGTCCCGAGTCCCGTCTGCCGTCTATAGTGCTGGGAAAAAGTGGCGGGTGACCGTTTTTCCGAAATCTTCGCTGTGGCGGTCCTCCGACGTCCTCTCGTTGGGGGCTGCGGCCCCAATTTTCCCGACCGAGGGATTGGGGTGGAGACATCGGCCTTGGCCATTTTGTTCTCCTCGATTCTGGTGTTGGGCGGAGGAGTCGACTGTCGATGGTGGTCGCGGGCTGGGTTACTGTGCTCGAGGACCGGGTCAGTGTTGTCGGTTGGGTGGTTTTTGGGGGTGTTGGTCCCCGGGTGTTAGTGGTGTTGTTCGGTTGGACAAGGGTTGGGTCCGATGGTACCCGACCCAGTTAGGCATTCTCTTGCAGTTTCTGAGCCGTGACTCTGCCATTGTCGTGCTTGGTGTGGCATACTGTTGCGGGAAGGGCTGTAGTAGTTGTAGTAGTTGTCGTAGTCGTATTTTAGTAGGGGTGGGCACGGTCCGGGACGGTCCGGGATTGGACCTGTCCCGGTACCTGTCCCGGTTTTTTGAACCGGTCCGGGACCGGTCCGGGACGACACCTCGTCCCAAACGGAACGGTATCAACCGGGACCGGGACAAAACAGTTCGGGACCGGGACAAAACGGGAAAAAAGATGTTCAAAAATCAAACTTCAAACTAAACTATTCCGGGAATAGTTTAGTTTGAAAGGAAAAAATAAATAAAAATAAAAGCAGAGAAGAGTGAAAGGAAAAAAAATAAAGAAAAACCTGTTAAGATTTCATTAATAAATATAAATTAATGTATAATGTATATATATATATATAATATTTTTGTACAAAAAAAATACAACGGGACAAACGGGACGGTTCGGGAAAAAAATATTAAAAACCGATACCGACATTGTTTCAACCGGTTCGGGACCGGGACCGGGACGAAAATTTTAAAAACCGATTACAACCCTATTTTTTCGGAACGGGACCATTTCGGTCCGGTTCGGGATCGGGAAATCCGGTTTTTTTGCCCACCCCTATATTTTAGTTTTTTTTCCTCTGAGTTTAGGTTGTGTTTTTAGTTTTTCTCTCCTGTTGGGAGTGTGTTTGGTGTATTATCTCTTACGGGAGCTTTGCTTTTCTCCTTTTTGGAGTTTTCTAGTTTTTCTTTTTTGTGTGTAGGTTGGTTCTAGGCTACCTTCTGTGTAGTTCTCTCAACTAGAGTCAACGATTTAGTTATTTTATTCTGCCGTGTGGCTGTTTATTCGCCTGAGTAGCTGCTCCCTAATGATGTTCCTTTTGTGTTTTTATATAAAGTTCCTATCGTTTTGAAAAAAAAAAGAGTAAAGGCTAATAATCCTAACAGTATACTGTAATATTTTCCATAAAAGAAAAGTGAATAAATTTATCATTGATATGCGGTGCACCTTCCCTCCGATTTTATGCGTTTAAAGTTTTAAAAAATAAATTTAGATGCGATTAGAGTGGTCAAGAAATATAATGTGATAAAGAAAATCTGACTTTAGAAAGAAAAATTCATTCGGATAATGTGATACATACACATTAATAGTAACTATGCTTTTTGTTACCACAAATATTAAATTGATGCTAAGAGCTATCCACAGGAAAGTCGTTTAAATAATTTGAAGATAGTGCAATCCAAAAGGGAAGTCATTTTTATTAAATATAGAAATAAGTGTGCATGCGTTATGAGAAATGGGCGTCCTGGGATTCTTGATTGGGTGTGGGTTAAAATTTTGGGATTAAAAAAAGAAATAATAAAAACAAATCATATTTGGTTGTCAAGTGAAAACTCCAATCCAAGAACCACAAACGTTTTTGTGTGCAAGTGGTCTAGAAAGAGAGAGATACAACGAAGAGAGAAAAGGGGCAGAAGAAGAAGAAGAAAAAGCCCTAAGCAGCAATTTTGATTGAGCGTTGATAATTTCCTTTTCTGGATTTTTTTCCGGCATCACATTGTCAAAGATCTTTTCTATCGGATTTTCCGAAAGGTTGGTGTTCATAATATATATTTTTTTTCTTGGACTGTATCCTCAGTTTGTGATTAGATGGGCGTGCCCAAGTTTATGATGTTATGGGATTGCTTCACTTTTGAGTTTGATTCAATCTTGATCTTTTATTTGTGGGATTGTGAGAACAAGGAGCTTGATTTTGGTTTTACCGAATTGAATCGAGCTCGATGTTGTCTTTTGCTCGAGGTTTGATGTGAAAAGAATGGAAATTTTTAGCTGGCATTCAGCACTTGTCTTGCATTGTTTTCAGCTTGAAATGATGGTGAGCCTCTGCTGGATTATTTTTTCCCAGAATTTTTTTAGCTCTGGGCAAGGTAGTAAATGTTTTT